TTACTATTACCTATGTTCCTGAGGTTATGTCTCTATGAAAATAATATGTAATTATAGATAACTACTATGATAGCTTGAAATTGGCCATAGGGGGAGTTTTTACATTGCCAAAACTGGCCAGTACTACACACCTGTTTGATTTCTTGTTTTGATTGTTATACTTAAGAAGGTGATGGAGAAATAGGTGAATGGATAAAGTAAATGTAGTGTGTGTATATGTGTGTGTATATATATATATATATATATATATATAAAACACAGCAGACTAATACCATAAAGAAGTTAAATTTGAGTTTTTTCGTAGAAAAATGGATGCACCTTGAGACCAATGCTAAAGTGAAATAAATCAGTCACAGAAGTTTAAATGTAATATTATTTCTCTTATATGAGAAACCCAAAGTGTAGTACAAATAATTTAAAGTCGATAGGAAATAGGTAGATCTTTTGGGGATGGGAAGGCAATCTAGAGATGGAAGGGAAGGAGGGGAAGTAAAAAGGATTAAGATGGGATATGTACGTGTACCAGCTCCCCACAGCGAATGTCTTTATTATGTGTGGCAAACCTACTAATGCAAAACAAAAAAAAATTTCCATGCTAAAAAAATAAATCATTGAGAAAGCATTAATGGGGCATATGAAATTTAGAAGTTTGTTGTGTCTGCACCGATTACATTGTAAATGGCACACAAGTAGATTCCTTGTCTATTCCACAACTATCAGCCATTCAACAAGGAATTTACTCACATAAATGACAAACAAGTAAAGTTTGACAAATATTTCTGTTGTATCACTTTCATCTTTGACTTTTTATTTTTTATTTATTTTTAAATTTTTTTGTGTGTTACCAGGGATCAAACTCAGGACCTTGTGCTAGCCAGGCAGATGTGGCACCATTGAGCTGCATCCCTGGCCCTCGTCTTTGACTTTAAACAAAAATATCAACCAGTGTTCATGTCAGAACTAATTAGAAGCCATGTGAATCCATAGTTGGCTTTTGTGGTTCAGCAAAAATTAGCAACAGTTCCTGTGAGAATCCATTAACTAAATTAATCTTTATAAATGTTGTTCTTCATATCCTTGGTATCAGTAAAATTTATAGTAAAATTATGTATGTATATAATTTCTCCCAGAGAGCTTGTTATGTTATCAGCTCACATAATTTCTGTGAATAAGTCCAAAGAAAGTGTGATATGCTAAATTCAGATTGTATAGGTTTCCTTTACTTTCTTTTCCTCTTTTTTCCTTATTTTTTTCTCTTCCTTCCATCCCTTCCTCCCTCTTGCTTTTCTATGTTTTTTCTAATTGTCTGATATGGACTATATTAGAAAACACCTGAATTTTATATTGTGCCATATATTATTTAAGTAAATAAGAATGTCTTCAGAAACTAGGAGGGAGAGAGGAGTATTTTTAAACTTTTTAATTCACATTGCATATTGCAAATTGCAAAGCAGATCACATTGTAATATCATGTAGACTGGTGTTTCTGTGGAATTCTTTTGAGATATGGAAATAGTTTAAGTTTATAACATTACTTCATAAATTATTTTCCAGTGAGCTTTAATTGTTCCTAATTTATATTGACAAGGGTACCTTTTGACTTGAGTCATTAAAAAAGGAAGCTAATTTGGAGAATTGATAATGCTGATAGCTAGCATTGTCTGCTAGGTGCTGCCTGTGTTATTTCTGACTTTGCAAAACTAATGTAAAACTTCTTGTTCCTTACAGTATCTCTCCTAAGTACCAAAAGTGGTTGCTTTTTTCAGGTCTGTCTGCAAAATCTCTACTCTTTTCCATTTGTTCTGAAGCTAATTCTTGTTCATAGGACATTAGAAAAATGAGATCCTACAGCAAAAGCTTTTTATTTTTCTGAGTATTTCAAGAACTATTTATTACTCAGAAAATTACACTTTCACAAAAAATTTAACCCATTGGTTTGATATAAATGTTTTATATTCATTTAATTTAATTTTTGTCCTCATAGCCTTGGTGGAGGACCAGATGATGCAAAAGAAATTATGAGACACAGTTTCTTCTCTGGAGTAAACTGGCAAGATGTATATGATAAAAAGGTAGGATGTATTTATGGCATGGTATGTATATATTTTGGCTACTCTGCTAAAAGGAATTTATAGCAAAAACTTAAGTGAATAAATTTAATGATATAGTGATATTTTCCATTTTACTGTGACATTTAGGTGACTATTGAACTTCTTAGCCCAAATTTTTATTTATCATTTGTACTCCCCAAATGCCTCTTGAAATTGTATTCATTGTTTTCAAAGAATTAATCTCTTTTTTTCCCACTTAGCAATTTGGTAGTTCGCCTCTCATTTTTTCTTTAACTGAAAAAAATGAAATATACCTAATGTTACATTTTTCTTCAGGAAAAACTAGCAAAACAATTATAACTTTAAGAATTTTAATTTTAAAGCAAACACTTTAATATATCCAAATCCTCATTGTGAAAGGATTTTAAAGAAATGTAGTTTTTATATTTAACAAAGTAATAATAACTTTATTATCTTAGACTTCTCATTTGAAATAGAACTTTAGTGCCTACAAAATAGATGTTACCAATTACGTCTTTATTTTTTACTATAATCTTGTTACTTGCTCTTACTTTTGTGATTTATACTTGAATTTAGGACATGAAGTCATTGCATTTGTTCCATCTTCTTACATTTTTAGTATTTCAAATATTGTTAGTGCCAGCAGTGATTTTGATATTTTGATTTTTAAATGCTTGTACAAAATTTTAATATGAAATTTTTAGTAATTCATTAATTTACTTAGAATTTTTTTTGGTACTGGGGATTGAACTCGGGTCCTTGTGCTTGCAGGGCAGTGGCCAGAACCACTGAGCTAAATCCCCTGCCCAATTTACTTAGAATTTTTATCTAGTTATTTTTGTTAGTCCATCCATTTCAGTTATTTTAGCTTTCCTTAATATTCATTCTCTGAAATATTTATCCACATTTTTTTAGGGTTTTATACCAGCTATTCTCTGTTAGCTCTAAATAGAGATGGAATGCTATGTGTTTTGAGGAACACAAGTATTTCATTTTTGCATTATGTTGTTGCTATTGGAAATATAGCAAATTTCCTACCCATTTCTTATAACTAAGCATTTAAAATAGTTACACCATGTTTAACCCTTGTATTCAAAGCTTCAAGGCAACCAGTCTCACATATTTTGAGTTTCTATTTTACATTCAAGAGCTGTGGTGTTAGCTTCTTACAACTCTTATGAGAAGCCTGTGATAATTCTTAAATGACCTAAATGTCTATTAAATACATATACACAGTCTGACATCCGGTTTAGATCATCGCTCATGGTCTGTATGACATGGATGCGTACCTTAGGAAGCCCCTCCTGAGCTATGTCAGCACAGCTCAAAGGGACGTGGGAAAGAGCAAGGCCTTGCTGTATCTCCATAAGTAATATCTGGGTCAGAATCAAAGAAAGAAACCACTTATTTAATAGACAGTGATTCAGGCATCAATATGGTATTGCCAACTTTAGGGGCACACCTTTTCATTCTTGTGGTGGTTTCCTTACTACAGTTCAGCTTTTCATGGTAAATGATAGTTTGGCCTGGAGAAAAAGCTCTGAGAATCCAGCCAGCCTAGTAGTGAAGAAGCAAGGCTTGTCCTGGCCCCTCCACTAGGCTGCCACACCTAAAGTGGTCAGCCACCTGGGGTGAATGGAGTCAGAAGAGTCTGCAAGTTGGGTGGAGAGGAGCTCCCAAGACAACGCCTGCAGGTTGTGTATGTGGAGGAATTAGTTTAATTGTTTAAAATGATTAAAAAAAATTGTAAAAGCCCCTTAATTTGAGCAAAGGTGTAAAGGATCTTGCATAAAGAAATACAACCACAAAGTGTAGAGTTTCCATGAACAGTACTGTGCACCAGGTGACTTGAGGGGTCCTGCTTATCAGACGAGGCGCTGGTTTCAGCATTATAGCAGTGCCTTCATATCTTGAGTCTCTTTCTAGAAAGCTAGGAAAATGTGGTAGTTGGATTTGTATCATATCACAGAAAAATAAATGAAAAGAACCAGTCTGACACTGGTAGCTATTTTAATGAATTCAGTTAAAATTCTCATTCTTTGGACAGTGTAAATTAGGAAGTAATTTATGAAATTGAACATCTTTACTGGATCCTTATATCTTTAAAATCTGTAATTTATTCACGAGTGGTCAGTTCATCTCTAAGACCAGGTATTTTATGGCTTTTATTAATGTGTTGGGAGATTTATTATTTTCATTGATTGATTACATAATTATGGACCATTTTTCTAAAAGTTGTGGCAGAAAGACATCTGGAGTTGCCGGTATCTTTAAGGGAGATCTAAATCTCTCTCTAGGCAAAAAAAAAAAAAAGTGAACTAACTTTAATTGCAAGGAGGGTGATCACTACTCACAGCACAGAACTAAAATCTAGACCCCAGTTCTGGTTTGCTTCGTGCCTCCTTTGAAGAATGGGCAAGGCCATTTGCTGGGCTCCCACATAACACTTAAGTCATTTCAGTGCCATCAGGCTTTAAAATTCTCTTTCAGGAAATCTAGTATGAATTCATCTAGGTAAATTCTAAGATTCATATCGATTTTATGCTCAGTTTGTCAACCTGCTAGGATTTTTTTTGTGTGGTTTAAATCTAATGATTTAACAATGAGCCTTCAGATCTGTAAGCACAGTGTATCTCCATTGGTTTTAATTTCTCTTAGTAATGTTTTTTAATTTTCAGTGATTACATCTTGCACATGTTTTGTTAGGTCTATCATTAAGTATTGCATATCATCTGATGTAATGGTATTTAAGTTTTATTTTCACCTGCAGCGAGTATAAAAATACAACTAGTGTTTTATATCAATTTATATTCTGTAAACTTGGACAATTCACTTGTTGTAGAATTCTTTTTGGTAGATGATTACCTATGATTCTGTACATAGATGATCATAATCTTCTATAAATAGAAATATGTTTACTTCATTTTAAATCTTTACGCAGTTTGTTTCTTCTTTGTCTTATTATATCAACTAAGACAGTGTTGAATACAAGTAGTGAGAGTGAACAGTCTGACTTTGTTTCTGAAATTGGAGAGAAAAGCATGTTTTTCCATTAAGTTCAATGTTAAGTATGATGTTAATGGCATTAGTGGCAAAAATGGTGAACTCTATAAATAAAGTTGATAATGGTAGTTTAGCTAATGAGCTACAGTAGTTAATGAGCACATCTAGCAGCCAGGTATAGGTTTCTAAATTTCGTGCACCAGTAAAAGGAACCCAAGCTCCTTGATGAAGTGATTGATTTAGGGGCTCATAAGGAGAAAATAAAAGATAAGCCTGAAGTATTTTGTGATGCCAGAAAGTTCAGAAGAGCTTTTTTAAAAAAGTCAGATAGAAAGGAGTCAACCTTGTGGCAAAAGCTGGAACAATTTCAGTAACAATAAATACAGTATTAGATTATTATCCAAAGAATAACATAATCACCCACAAGCCCATGCTTCATAAATAAATGATTGAAAAAAGTAATACTGGGAAGGGACATGTCTTCTTTAAAGATGAGTTCCAGTTAAAGATAGAAGGAGTAAGAGAAGTAGAGAATCCACCCCTAGGACAACAAAGTAAGAATTGGTGCCTGCCGGGTCTGCCCCTGAATGCTAAAATGAGTAGTCTGGGTTTGAGAGGAGATTTGCATAGTCTCCAGGTATCTGCCCCAAACTCTTGTTTACAAAGATAAAAACAATGCCTGGGGCTGGAGACATAGCCCAGGGGTAGAACACTCCGTCACGAGTGGCACGGTCAGTCACTTACCTTACACTAGAGACGCTCTGCAGGCAGTGTTTTCACCAAGTGACCAAGGTTTACGTCACTGGCAGTACCATATCCTGACACCATGTAGCCCACCAGTGATGTGCTGAGGAGAGAATAACACTTGTGTAGAACTCTTCTCCAAAATGATAACCTCAAGATAATCATGAGAAAGCCTGAGGAACATGAACCCACACAGGGACATTCTTCAAAATACCTGGTCAGAGAACTGTCAGTCTCATTCATAATTGGCAGAGAACAGTGGGGGCATTTTCACAGTCTAGAGGAGAGTAAGATGGCATGGTGACTACAGTGTGGGGTCCTGGATTAAATCCTGGAATAGAAAAGTGGCATTAGTGGGAAAAAATGGTGAACTCTAAGTTGGTAATGGTAGGTTAGCTAATATTATTGCATTGATGTTAATTTCTTAGTTTTGATAATTACAGAATGGCTATGTAGGATGTTAAATTTTCAGTGAGGTTGAGTAAGGTGTATGTGGTAACTGTGTACTATTTTTGTAAATGTTCTCTAAGCCTAAAATTATTTAAAGATGTTATAAAATCTGATATTATGAAGATTTTCATTATACCTCTTGAAGAAATTCTGTCTCTAGATTACTGAGTTTATGTACTTATGTGATTTTCATTTCAGGATCACATTTGCCTTTTATAAACAAGGTGTAGGGAGCATTCCCTCCTCATTGGTTTATAGAATCTATCATCTTCCTTGCTCAGTGATTTGGTAGAATTTACCAGTGACCTTACCTAGACATGGAATTTTGATTTTGCCAGAGGTTTTAACGAAGAATTCAATTTCTTTAAAATAGTAATGGGGATGTTGTCATAATGTGTTCAGGAATAAGTTTTGGAATATTGTTTTTTTCAAGGAATTTAACCTAAGTTTTCTGATTTACTGGCTTGGAAATGCATGTGATGTCTCTTGTAATATTTGCAGTATCTGTATTTGATGATCTGTCTGCTATTGAAGATACTGGTAATTCGTGTTTTCTCTTTTTTGATCAGTCTGGCTGGATGTTTATCACTTACTACATTTTTTAAAAGAACTATTGGTTTTGTTGATTTTTTTCTCTATTGTTTTCCTGTGCTGAAATTCATTATTTTGCCTTTTATTATTTATGCTGTTTTTGAGTATACTTTGCTCTTTTTCTAGTTTCTTTAGGTGGGCACTATAGTAATGTTTTGGAGACCTTTTTTTATACTAACATATGCACTTACTACTAAAAGTTTCTTGTGAAATTTTGATATATATTCATTTAAAATATTTTAATTCCCTTTCTGATTCCTTCTTAATTTGATGTTTATTTAGAAGTGTTTTTAAATTTTCAAGTATATGAATTTTGAAGCTATTCTGTAGCTTAATTTTCTTGTGGTTGGAGAATATCATTTTAATTCTTTTGAAACTATCAAGATTTGGTTTATGGTTCAGAAAATGGTTTATGTTGGTATATAAGTTCTGCTTTTAATGTTTGACATGTTCCTCCTAAGATGGTTCCCTTAAGGTAAAAGTATGTCCTGTCAAGATGGCTAATAGTGTAGTTCACAGTCTGTATCCTGAGTTTCTGTCTGCTTGTATTATCAGTTACTAACAAAGATTGGTGAAACCTTTCATTATGACTATGAATTTGTTCAACTTTTCATGTGTTTTAATGGTACTGTTATTTGATGGTTTGGGTTTTGCACTGCTGGGGATGGAAGCCAAGGCCTTGCATATTCTGCTAGGCAAGCACACAGTACCACCAAGCCACACCTCAGCTTCATTATCAGCTGCATTCTCATTTAGATTGAAGATGATTGCGTCTTCTTGGTAAAGTTACCTATTTCTGCATTCTCAATATCCATGGCATTGTTGTTTCCAAAATCTTCCTTTGATACTGATGTAAATGCTCAGCTTTGTAAAAATTTTGTGTGATACATTTTTCTCTTCATTTTACTATTAACTTGTCGGTTAAAGTGGTAGTTTTTAGACACCATGTAGTTTGTTCTTTTTTCTTATTCTTAGGTAATTGATTTTTAGTGAAATACAATGTGTAGCCTATTGACATAGTTTTAAATATATCATCTTGCTATTTCTCTTGTCTACACTTTTATGATTTATTGAGAATTTTTATGATTTTGCTTTTACCTTCTATTGTCTAATGAACTGTGTGTCTTTTTGTTTTAAGATTGTGTCTAGAGTTTGCAATATACATGTTTACATTATCACAGTCTACTTACGCCCATCAAAGACCACAACATATTTCTGTTTCCCCCTTCCATTCTTTACGGTATCATTATCTTCTTTTCCTAAACATTTTTGATGTTATTTTTATATTTTATTTTTACAATTTAATATGCATCACAATGCATAGTGATTATATTTTGATGTCGAGTATATTTTAAAGTGGCTGAAAATACAATATACTTATCATTTTTAGTACCCTTTATATAAGTCCTTTATATAGGCCTGTTCTTCTACTGGAGTTTTTCTTTTTCTTTCTCTTGTATTCTTTTTTCTTTGCCTTTATGCCAAGGCTAATTTAGCTCTACTTCTCAGGCATGAACTTTCTGGGTTTGGAAAGACCTGTGGAAAACAAAAATACATCGGGAGAAGTATAGGGTTGGAAATAATGGAAATGTGACATTTAAGAAGGGGAGAACAATGTGAGAAAAGCGAAGTAGTGAAGTGCAGGAAGATGTGCTGCCTGGAGAAGCCAGGAATCCATGGTGCATGGAAACTCTGTGCAAACACTGGAGAGGTGGCTTGTGAATGTAGTGCATCTCCTTAAAAGGGCAGCTCCTGGGTTTGCTTATGTACTTGCCAGAACCCTGAAGTAAGCACATGGCTTGAGGTAACTGCACCTTTTCACGTTTTGTTGGTATAGACTTTCAGGGAGAAGAGTGTGGAAAAAAAATCTTATTTTTAAGAGATTATTGCACTGTGTAAGTGTTAAGTCACGGGCATTTAACTAAAGAAGATAAAGGACAACAAAGAAAAGAATGTGAATTCTATAGGTACTGTCAAGAAATAAGGACTGTTATTTTATTCTGAAAATATTGGGAGAAAGTTTAAAGTGAAAGATTATAGCTGGTTTGGGTAATGTTTAATTCCAGATAGAATTGTCCAAGGGCTTAGAAATACAGCATTAAGATTGGAGAGTGAGACCAAGAATGAATGTGTATGTCTGGGAATTCAGAGTTTAGTTAGAATTTTGGAAGTGGATTACCTCTGTAAGGAAAAGAGAAGAACAAGAAAATGGACTGGAGAGAAGGAGGGGAGAATTTGAGGCGGGTGAGAAGATGGAGAATATTCATGGTTAACAGTGGAACTTGGGTTGGGGACACATTTCTGTAAGATGTGTCAAAATCCTCTGTGAAGTGTCACACAGAGCTTGTCGACTGAGTCATGACTTTCTACTTTTTGTTTGAGATTTTGGCCTGAAGACTGATTGATGGCAGTTACGCAGATGTTAATTATTATTATTATTTCACGTAACAGGAATACTAACAAGAGAGATGAAAGGCTAAAAATAGGTTTCTAGGTAGCTTCATGTTGATGTTTTTCTTCACACTCAAATAATGGCTCATTTAAAACTTCAGTCAGGGCCAGGGATTTAGCTCAGTGGTTCCAGTGCCTGCCTTTCAAGCACAAGGTCCCGAGTTTGATCCCCGGTACCAAAGTAAGTAAGTAAATAAATAAATAAATAAAATAAAACTTCAGTCAAAGAAAGATGTGTTCCATATATCCACTAGATATTCTGATAGTAAAACATTATAATTACTGTCTTCTTTTGGTCATGAGGCATTGTACTGAGGCTAAAAAAGAGCACAGACAGCTGTCAAAACCAACTTTAGTTACGGCATGAAATGTTAATAGTTGAAACTTTAAAAGTTCTCAGATTGGGTTAAGAACAAAATACACCTAGATTGCTCCTTATAAGGGCTTCCCCTAAAACAAAAGTACACTGAAAACTGGAAAAAATAAGAGTGAACAGAGGTTTAATGGTCAGATGTCAGGAAGGATAAACAGAGGCAACAACAATAATTTGGGTCTGAGTAGATTTCAATACACAAATATTAAATTTTGCAAGTCGATTGTTTTGGCATACATGACATTAATATATTCATTAAAAAGTAATATTCATACCAAATAGCACCTACATAAAAAGTTAAAATGAAGAGAGCTGATGGAAATGGACCTGACGTGTACAGAAGTACAGTTTTGTGGGGTTTTTTTTTTTTTTGGTACCAGGGATCGAACTCGGGACCTTGTGCTTTCGAGGCAGGTGGTGGAACCACTGAGCTAAATCCCTGGCCCCAGAAGTACAGTTACTTAACATGTAGGCATTCATGAAATTTATTATCTTTGCAAAGGTCCACTTTTTGGTTTTGTTGATTTTTCTCCTTAAGTTGTTCAGGCAGGGCTCAAACTTGTAGTATTCCTGCCTCAGCCTCTCTGGGTGCTGGGATTAGAGGTGTGCACCACCGAGCCTGGATGGAATCACTACTGTACGTTTTCCTCTAAGCATTGGTTTCTCTATATAACATAAATTTTGACAAACTGTATTTTCATTCTCATTTAGCTAAAAGTATTTTTTATTTTTCTAGAGGCTTCTTTATTTCTCCTGTTATTTAGAAGTGTGCAGTTTAATCTGTAAGGATTTTATAGTTTTACAGCTGTCTTTTTGGTACTGATTAATTCCACAGTGATAAACTAATTCATTTCCTTTGGATAAATAACCAGAAATGGGACTGCTGGATCATATGATAGCCCTACTTTTCATTTTTTGAGGAACTTCCATGCTGTTCACCCCAATAGGTGTACTTTCTACATGTACTTTTCAGTAGTGTAGAAGGGTTCCTTTTGCTTCAACCCCTTGCCAGCATTTGTTACTCTTTTTAAATAAACAGCTGGCACTTACGTGGTTTTTGTTTGTATTTCCATGATGACTAGTGATGTTCAGCACTTTTTCATGTGTCTACCTCTTTTTGAGAATGTCTACTCAGATCACTTGCCCCTTTTTACTTGCGTTATCTGCAGGTTTTTTGTTGTTGAGTTTTTTGAGTTCCTTATATATCATGGATACTAATCCCTTGTCAGATTAAAAGTGTGCATATGCTTTCTCCCATTCTATAGGTGAATTTTCCAGACTTTATTACTTTTAAGATTTTTGGCTTACTCTTTAAATATCTGTGATCCTATTTGAACATTAATCTGCATTTCTGTCCTAGATTTTAAGTTAGAACTTACAGTATTTATCATTTTTTCTGCATATTTACTGTTTATTCCTCTCCCTGTATGTGTGTGTGTGTGTGTGTGTGTGTGTGTGTGTGTGTGTCTGCATCTCTGTCTCCCCCTCTTCCCCTCTTCCCTTCTCCCCCCTTCCTCCCCCCCACCCCCACCCTTGTTAGGTACTGTGATTGAACCTGGCCCCTTATACATGCTAGGCAGAGTGAGTCCTAGCTATTTTTTTAATTAACCTTACATTTTTTGAGATATCATTCACCCTTTAAAGTATGCATACATTTCAGTGATTTTTAGGTAATTCTCAGACTTGTGCAACTATAACCACTAATTTATTTTTTTAACTGTATATCCTTTTATTGGTACATTTTAGGTATACAATATAATGACATTCATCATTGGAAATTTGCACCTTTACATACTCTCTTCGTTCTTATTTTTCCCTCTTCCCCTGCCCTCCCTTCAACCCCTCCATCCCTCCCTATTTACAAAGACTTTGTTTCCTCTTTTTCATTTTCTCATATTAATTCAATTCCCTTCTTTCCTTTCCCCTACCCCTCCCACTTCCCCTTCCCCTTTGCCCCTTTTCTTCCTATTTCACATTATCTATTATACCTTTTAGTCCTTATTTACACTTTCAGTTTCTCACACTAGAGAAACTATTCTGTATTTACACGTGTGTCCTATTTATTTCACTTCCATCCATTTAGCTATAAATGTCTCTAATTTCTCATTTTATGGCTGAGTAGTACTCCATTTTATTTTTTAAAAACCACATTTTCTTTATCCAGTCTCCAGTTGATGGGCATTTGGGCTGTTTCCAAGTTTTAGCTATCACAAACTGTGCTGCTGTGAACATGGGTGCACATATATCACTGTGGTATGATTCTTTTAATTTGGGGGAGAAGATACCCAGCAGGGGAATAGCGGGGTCAAATGGGACTTCCAGTCCTAGCTCTTTGAGGTATCTCCATACTGATTTCCACAGTGGTTGCACCAGGCTGCACTCCCACCAGCAGTGGAGCAGGGTTCCTCTTTCCTCACAGCCCTGCCAGCATTTGTTATTGGTTGATTTCTTGATAGCAGCCATTCTTTCTGGGGTGAGGTGGAGTCTCAGCATTGTTTTTCATTTGCATCTCTTAAATGACCAGTGATGTTGAACATTTTTTCATGTATTTATTTGCTATTTCTACTTCTTTGTGTGAGAAATGTCTGTTCATTTCAGATGCCCATTTTTGGATTGGGTCTTTAAATTTGGGAGGTCTGATTTTTTTTTTAAGTTCTTTTTAGATTCGAGATAGTAGACCTTTGTCTGAGGGACCACTGGTGAAAATTTTTTCCCACATTGTGGGTTGTCTCTTCACACTGTTGGTGGTTTCTCTTGCTGTGGAGAAGCTTTTTAGTAAAAAGAGATCCCACTTGTCGATTGTGCTAGTTCACGGGCACCTGAGGTTTTGGTCATAAAATCTTTTCCTACACCAATGTCTTCAAGAGTTCTTCCTAACCTCTCTTCCAGCCGGTTCAGTGTTTCTGTTTTAATATTTAGATCTTTAATCCATTTTGATTTTAGTTGAGTGCATGGTGAGAGATATAGGTCTAGTTTTAGTCTTTGGCAAGTTGAAGCCCAATTTTCCCAGCACCATTTATTAAAGAGGCTATCTTTCCTCCAGTAAGGGTGTTTGGCTCCTTTATCAAAGATGAGGTGGCTGAGTGTGTCTGGAGTATTTTTGGCATCTTCTAATCTGTTCCACTGGTCCTCAGGTCTGTTTCTTTGTCAGTACCATGCTGTTTTTATCACAGTAGCTTTGTAGTATAGTTTCAAGTAAGGGGTTGTAATACCCCCTGCTATGTCTCTGTTACCTAGAATTGCTTTTGCTATTCTGGGTCCCTTCTTGTTCCAAATGAATTTTTGGATTGTTTTCTCAAGGTCCATGAAGTGTGCTGCTGGGATTTCAATTGGGATTGCATTGAATCTATATAGCAGTTTTGGAAGTATGGCCATTTTCACTATGTATAACCACTAATTTAGAACACTTTGGATTCTTAATTTCTTCTTGAAGATCCAAGTTTTTTTCTGGTATCATCCTCTTTTAGCCTAAAGAAATTTTTATCATTTCTTAAAATTCAGCTGGCAAAAAAATAATGTTTGCTTTTATTAGATTATGTCTTTATTCTGCTTTGATTCTTGAAGGGTACTTTCACTGAATATAAACTTTATTGAGTACCTATTTAAATATTTATTATCTTATAAGTTGTATATTTTGCTGGCTGTTTTCAAGATGTGTGTGTGTGAGAGAGATGGGTTTTATAATAAGCCACCTTGAGTCATCTGAGCCACATTTCCCAGAACTGGAGTTTGCTATGTGAGATTTTCATAGAGAATTTTGAGGATAGGAGCAGCATTGCTTCATAGCTCATTCATGTTGTTCCTTTAGTTCATCGCATTGATATAGGTGGTGGTCAGGTCTGTACCTGCCCATCCTCCCCTGAGTGCTCTTTCAGCCCATCCAGGTCCTAGCTGGAGTGTGCTTAGCTCTTAACCAAGGGCCTGGCTTTTGCAGCATATGCACCATCAGCAAAGTCGGAGCCAGAAAGGCTGACGTGGTATTTGCTTTGCCCTTTTGGGCTCTATCTTGTGCTTCAGGGTTCTCCTTCATTCTTCTCTCCCTACTTTTCTTGCACATTCCCTTCTCTGCTTACTGCCCTTTGAACGTCAAACCCAGCATTAAACATGATGACGGCAGCTTATAAGTTGAAGACCCCCTTCGTGTCATTTCTCTCTAGTACATACTCACTCATTGTTTGCCCATGTTCTTGGCCATTGCTAATCAGAAATAGTGGTTAGTGTCTGCTGCACTGCTGATGCTGCGCAGTGCTGATGAGTCTGCTGGAGGAGGGAAAGAAAGTAGGTTGTGTAATAAAGAGGCTTATGACACGTGTGTCTTGTCCATAAACACTACCATCAAAGTAGTGGCATTGTCTCTACTACCTGCTTTTCAAAAGGCTCCCTGTGTTTCACAAATAAGAGCTTTTTTTCCTTAACTTTTATAAGCACTCCAAGCATAACTGAGGTCTTGAAACAGTGTAATGTACCTGTGGATGTTTGTGAACAGTATCACCCATCCCCAGATGAACACTTAGTTCAATGAATGCTTGTAAAGTTATTTGTTTTATTTTTTTATATTGAGGCAGGGACTTGCTGAGTTGCCCAGGCTGGTTCCTGCCGCAGCCTCCCAAGTAGCTCCCCGGGATTACAGGCATAGTTCTTTTTAAATGAGAAATTTTATTTTAAAAACTTTTAAAAATAAAATATGAGTTGGGCTGGGGATTTAGCTCAGTGGTTTCGCCGCCTGCTGCACAAGTACAAGGACCTGAGTTTGATCCCTGGTACCAAAAAAAAAGAAAATATGAGTTTAAATTTCTGGGAATTACTTTTTAAACAGTACATATCATCCACAAAATATGTTAACAAGCCCTTCAACATTTCGACAGGGAAAGATGTACGTATTCATTAAACATTTAATGTGTGGCATAGCTAAAATATTCATTTTGATGGGTGCAACATATATAATAGTTATATATAAAAGTATGATGCATAACTTGAGCCCCCTGGTCCTTTTTTTAAAAAATAGGATCAAAGTGAATGGTACAAACTTCCAGTTACTGGTGTGTGGTTTTGTATAAATGAAATACAATATACTTATTTGAATTTCTGGCTTTATGCCAAAGAATATATCAATATGGCAAAGCTTAGCCTGTGATGTAATTAAATAATGTATGTAATAGATCTTCTGTTTTCCGAGGTCTAAGCCCTCTTTCCACACTCCCGCTTTTCCAATACATGTATGCATATATATGCATATACGTGTATATTCTGTTTTCATGAAAAATAGAGATTAAACCTGAGTTTCCTCCTAAGTTTAGCTATTCTGTTATCTCAAAGAGGTGAAAATTACAGCATCAGATTACTATCTGTGGCAAATCTAAGTGTTCAGCAGTCCTGACAGTTTTTATTGCAAATATGTAGGTCTAAGTATTGTATTGCGTGTATACAAACAAAATGGTAGACAGCCACAGTTTTAAGGTAATTAAGGCACCTTAATCACTGTCTGTGTTAGCTTTCCCAGAAAGTTTCAAGTCCTGCTCTGTATTTCTGAAGTACCTGGAACTGAAAACAGAAGAAAGAATATAGATACATTGTATCAGCAAGTGTTTTGTTGCTGAGGAGGAAGGTCTCTTAAAGACTAGGGTTCATACACCCATGCTGCCATTCCAGCCATGACAGAAATGTCAAATTTGACTCATTCTGACAAGATTAAGAAAAGTCTCTCTCTGTTCTTTCACTTACATTATCAAGAAACACAGATATTTTTCGAAGGATAGTGACTGTTACAGTGACTTGGTAGCATTTAAAATTTGGTAGTGGATCAGTGTGCAAAGGACTTAGGAGGCTGCAGGTTTGCTGCCATTATATAGACTTGAGATTGCAAGGAAACTTCATCTTGATACCATGTCAGCTTTCATTACTGTCACAGCTTTCTAAGTCAGCTTTCTGTTACGGGAGCATAATATCTAAGGGAGTCAGTTTAAGAAGAAAAAAGATTTATTTGCCTCACACAGTTGGCCCTGTTCCTTTTGGACCTATGGTAAGGAAATACCTATGACCAGAGTTAAGGCAGAGCAAGCTACTTAACTAATGATGGCTAGGAAGTGAAAGAAAGAGACAGAGATCGTAAGCCCACCTTTCCCTGGGGCTCACCTCGTGTTCTAGACCCTCCCATTAGGTTTAAAGATCCTGCCTCTTACAGATCCTCCACCTTCCAGTAACACCAAAGAAAGGTCTGTTCCAAGTATGATGCATTTGGGGGGAAGATATGTTGAGTTTGCAGTTAGTAGCTACTTACTGAGTGGCACATAAAAGCTTAGATTTATAGTTGTATTGATAGGGTTCTCTGGCAGAGTAGAATCAGCAGTTACGTAAGGGATTTTAAGATCAGAAGCAGATGGTGCACACTGACCATCTGTGCACCGGGGAGCCCAAGGATCCAGTAGCATCTCAGTTAAGAGGCTGGAAGCCACAGAAGAGGAGGGATCAAGATGTAGTGCCAGTCTGAGACATGCTTGGAAGCTCCCGGGAGAGTTACTGGTCAGAGTCTGCATTGAAAGGCTGAAGAAACGAGTCTAATGTCCACCAATGATGGCAGTAACAAAAGATGCACTTGCTCAAGCAGAATGGAGCTTTTCAAACACAAGCCAACTTCTTCTTTCTTCCCTTTCATTCCAGCCAGGCTGCAAGCCTATTGGATGATGCCCCCCAAAGTCAGGGGGGTCAGTTTGCTGGCCTACACACCAGCTGCCACTGAAATCCCCCACTTCCTGTCCCTGTTGCAGCCAGAAGTGAGTTTTACTGAACTGCTAGGCATCTCTTAATCCAGTCAAGTTGCCAGTCACAGTAGTCACACATTACTTTGTCAGTACTTTATCATTTCTAAATGGGAGTTTGCACACTGCCAGTTGATACAGGAGTGTTTTGAGAGATGTGACCAGAGGAAAGGAAAGAAGAGATGAATACATAGTTTCAAGTGAAGGTAGAGAATTTTGTGTTACTGTTCTAGGGCTGCTATAACACAGTGCCACAGATTGGGTGGTTTAAACCAGAGAAATCTGTTTTCTCACTTTGCTGGTGGTTGGAAGTCCAGAATCAAGGATTGGTTCCAACTGTGTCCTCTTCCCTTGGTTTGCTGTTGCTTATTTTCTCCCTGTGTCATCATCCTGTCTTTCCTCATCGTTGATGTGTACCCATTATGTTCACGTTCCTTCTCCTGATACAAGGGCATCATTCAGATTGCCTCCTCTTAGTGTGGCCATCTCTTTAGAAGCCTTACATCCAAATACAGCACCTCTGTGAGGTACTTGGGGGTTAGGCCTTTAACGTATGACCAGGAGACACGAGACTCAGCCCATGTAACACAATATTTGAACATGTTTTATGTTACTTAAAGTAAATGTATAGTTTCCAGATTTGTGATGACATCCAGAATTTAGGTATCCCTGATGATTTGTGTGGGAATGCATCTGTTTGAGTATTGTTGCAATATTTTGCAAGTCATAACCCCGTAGCTTTTCCCACACACATAAAGATCTACTTTCCTCTGCAGATGTTTATATTTCACTGAATTGTCTTCTCCTGCTTCTGTGGGGGCTAAGAAAGACAAGATAATGCTTGCAGGTTGGGTATCTTGACTTTGGCTGATGTTCAGTGAAATAAGTCAAAAGCAAAAGCAGTTTTCATCCAGTCTTCAGCAGTTTAAGTGCTTTAGTAAAAAACTTTGAGATCAGAAGACCTGGATTTTACTGTTCCTGTTTTTGTATAATCTTTGGGAAATCATTTCACTACTATCAGATTTAATTTCCTCATCCCTATAAGGATAAACTACATCAAAGCAATATAAATGAGAGCAATTCTATAAATTTTAAAAGATTCAACTAATTTAAAGCATGTTGCCTTTAAATGAAATGCAATTTAGAGTTCAAACAGAAAGATACATAGAAAATCTCCAAATGTATGAAAACTAAATATAATAGTATATAACCCAGGGATCAAAGACATAGTTGAAGAGAATTTATAAAGAAAAGAAAACATGTGTAGTTGTAAGATAATACACTTCAAAGGAAATTTATAGTACTAGATGATTATATCAGAAAAAAAGAAAAGTCTTAAGATCATGACCTGCGCTTCTCTCTTAAGAAACAAGAAAAAGAGCAAATTAAGCCTACTGCAAACAGAAGAAAATAAGTAATAAAGATTTGAACAACAGTCCCTGCAATAGATAACTAGAAATAATAGAGAAAATTGATAAAAGAAAAAAGATCTTTAAAATTAATACATTTCTAACCTGACTGAGCAAAAATGTGGGAAGACAAATTATTATCATGAAAGTGGTGATACCACAACAGACTATGAGTATTAAGTGGGTAACATGCGAATATTATGTAAAACTCTAGACCAGTAAAGTCAACAGTTTAGCTGAAATGGACAAATTTCTTGAAAGACACAGATTACCAAGAAGAAACATATGACCAGAAGTCATAAATGGCTTTATGTCTGCTAAATGAATTGTATTTGTAGTTAAAATCCTTCTCACAATGAAGACCCCTTTCCCACAGGGCTTCAGTTAGTTCTACCAAACACTTTAGGAATAGTGTCAGTTGTATGAAAATTTTTCCAGAAAATCGAAGATGAAAGAATGTTTGCCTGTTCATTCTTTGAAGCTAATATTAACTTGATACCAAAAGCAAACAAAGATAGAGAAAAACTATAGACCAGTTTCCCTAATAAACATATATGCAGTAATTTTTATATGCAAAAATTCTTCACATAATTTTAACAAATTCAAGAATAAATACAGGGAATTCATTCCAGGAACATAACGTTGATTAAGCATTTAAAAATAAATTGCAATAATTCACTATATTAACAGACTAAGAAAGAAATTAGGATCTCAGTAGATGTAGGGGAAAAAATCAAGAAAATCCAGTATCCATTTATGATCTGTTTATAATTTTAAATAAAACAAAATACTTCCAGTAGATTGGGAGTAGGAAAATTAGTCAACTTGATAAAGTGCATCTAGGAAAAACTTACTAATATCTTAATAGAGAAAGACAGATACTTTCACAAGGCAGAGATATTCACTTTGTTGTTCAACATTATACTGGAGATTGAGCACTATAGTTAAAGCAATAATAAAAAATAAAATGTTTGCAGATTGTAAAGAAATTAGTAAAGATCTTTCCATAAAATAAGAACATGTAGAAAATCTAATGGGAGCTACTAAAGTTTAATCCATTTGTTGCTTGATACATGATAAATATACAAAAAATTGCAGACTACAAAATCAATTTTAAGCGGTGATAGAAATTAATAAAAATACCATTTTCCGTAGTAAAAAAATACATAAAATATCTATACATCTGCCAACAGATATGAAAGACCTTTACAGTGAAAAATAATGTTGTGGAGAGTAATTACAGATAATGTGAATAAATGGAGAGATATATGCATGGATCAGAAGACTGGATAATACTTTTAAGATGTTTATTTCTAAATTGATATATGAATTCAACACAGTGTTAATCACAGTCCTAACAGGCTGTTTTGTAGAAGTTGACAGGTTGATTATAAAATTCATAAGGAAATACAAAAGTCCTAGAATAGATAAA